ATGAGGTGATGCTGAAGCTGTATGGCCAGGCATACAAAGTGTACACTCACAGCTTCCTCTGCTATGGGAGGGACCAGGTCCTCAAGAGGCTGCTCTCCAAGTTCCTCCAGGTACAGTGTGTGTTTGATGTGGATGCTGGCTGTCACAGTTGCCCCTCAGCTCGGTGTTTATTCTGTCCTTCAGCCCTGGACCAGCTGCACACCTTTACCAACCAACTTGGGTTTTGCCCCCAACTCTTTCCTATGTTCCCAGGGTTTCTCATACTATCTCCCTTAGATGATGCAGCCCTTGGCTGAGCCAAGACACCCCAAGCCATTTTGAGAAACTTTTGTCAACTGCTGTGTCTGGCTGCTCAAGCTCCACGGGAGCTGTGCTATGCACAGCTCATGCACCCCATGTGTCCCTCCTCCGGCAGGCTGAAAACTATCAAGAAACTGTCTCCCATCCCTGCTGGCCTAAGGGCTACAACAAGAGCCTGTTGCTGAGCAGCATCTACAACAGCCCCTGCACGGAGAAGGAGAGGCCAAGCCTTGCCCTCAACACCACTGTTACCTTGGTCGGCACTGGGAACGGGAACCTCTGCACTCTGCATGTCAGCAAGCTCTTTGACTTCACCAACTGCTCCTTCTCTCACTGCTCCTTTGACGGTGTTTTCCAGCCAAAGGTTTCAGGAAACTTCATTGTAAGTCCCATAAGAGGAGGGTGGTGACTCAGCTGCTGCTGGGCAGCTCCCCAGCATCAGTTGGCAGCAAAATCAGACCCCCAGCTCTGTAACAGCAGTTGTTGGTGCCCACCACATTGGCCAGAGTGTCAGCTAATGGTCAGAGAGTTTACTCCCAGCCTGTCTCACAGCTGCTCCTTTGCCTCCATCAGGCCTTCTCTGCCTTCTTCTACACGGTGGATTTTATACAGACCGTGATGGGAAGGCCCGTGCACCTGCCCAGCGACCTGAAGGATGCTGCAGAGACCATCTGTGCCACCAGCTGGAGTGAGGTGGGCTCCCTGGGCACCATGGGAAGGAGGGGGCTGCTTCACGTGGGGTATCACCCAGGCTTTGAGAGAAGCCCTTGGAGTCACTGGGTTTCCTGGCACCAATGGACTAGGGAGAAGGCAATTGATGGCTCCGACATGGGACTGGGAGGGGGCTCAGGTGGGTAGGGGTAGCCTTGGCCTCACAGATGTAACTACCCTGAGCTTCAGGCCACAGACACAAGCCTGGCCATTGCTGGTTTGACCTCTCTTCTCTTTCCCTCTGTGCATCCCACCCAGCTGCTCCTGAAAGCCCCAAAGCTGGAAAAGAGGCTGCCAGATTACTGTGCTGTCAGCACATTTGTGTATTTGCTCACCACCAAAGGCTACAGCTTCAACAACCACTCCTTCCCCAACATTGCCTTCCAGAAGAAGGTGGGTAGCATCAAAATACATCCCCATCCCATGGGATCTCTTTGGAGTTAGGCCAAAGAACCCTGCAGGAGAGATGATCCCACATGGAAAAAGAGGCAAGCAGAATCAAGGAAGATCTCAGTGAACAGGGGCAGGATGGAGCTCTCAGTTTTTGGAGGGATCTCCTAGTGGATGGAAACAAATGAGCTGAGCTGTCTGTTGGGGTTGTCATGGGATCAGGTCCTTCAGCCCTTCCTTGGCCCTCAAGACAGCAGCCATCCCAAATAATGCTCTGCGGAGGCTTTTTGGGAAGTTACGTCAGGGCAGGAGGTACTTTTGTCTGCACATGCTATGGGATGTGCAAGGAGATCAGGACTGGCCTGAGCATACTAGGTTTTACTCCCAGGGCATGAACCCAGTTCAGCACAAGATGGTCACTGCTCTGTCCCTGTGCTGGCTAGACCTGTGGGCAAGCAGAGGCTCAAGGGGGCTGTGGGTTCCCACACACTTTTCTCCCTTGGGCTGACACTGAAGCTGTCCCAGAAGAGTCTGCAGCACAAGTCTTACTAGTAGCAGCTGACAGAGCTGGGGAGACTCAGCCTGGAGAAAAGGAAGCTCAAGGGGGACCTTCTCACTCTCTACAACACCCTGATAGGAGGTTGTAGCCAGGTGGGGTTGCTATCTTCTCGCAGGTAACATGTCACAGGCCAAGGAAATGGCCTCAAATTGTGCCAGGAGAAGTTTCAGTTATATTTTAGGAAAAATTACTTCATGGAAAGTGTGGTCAGGCATTGGAACAGGCTGCCTGCAGTTGGGGTAGTTACCATCCCTGGAGGGATTTAGAACATGTGCAGATGTGCCACTTGGGGACATAGTTTAGTGGTGGGCTTGGCAGTGCTGGCATTACTGGTTGGACTCCATGGTCTTAGCTGTCTTTTCCAACTTCAGTGATTCCCTGATTCTATGGTCTCCTGAGGCCCATACAGCTATGCTGGCTGGATGGTGACCATGCCATGCTGTTTCCTCAGGCAGGAGAAACCTCCATTGGCTGGGCCCTGGGCTACATGCTGAACCTCACCAACATGATCCCAGCAGAGAAGCCCTACTCCCACAAAAGTATGCTGTACAATTACTGGGTCATCCTCATCCTGCTCTTTGTGGTCACCACCCTGACATCCCTGGTGACTGCCATCTGCCTGCTCTGGCACAGCAAGTCCAGCATAATCTGATGGCAGGGACAGGGTGGGCCATATCTGCAGGACCAGCACCATCCTACCTGCCGGAGGCTCCACGGTCTGAATGCTTGGGATGTGGCAAGTGCTCAATGTCCTCCTCCAAAACCTGACACTATCCCAGAAGAATGACTGTGTCCTTTTGCCCTCCCCTTGCCCTCAAGCTGCGGGAAAGGAAGGACAGAAGAGGATCACTGATCCTGTGGGAGAAGGGCGTAAGTGTTTCCCTGCACTACTCAGAGATGGACCCTGGAGCAGGCTTGGAAATGGGACATTCAGAGCTAGGACATCTTCCTGCCACAAGAGCTGAGCTGAACTGAGCCAATGAGCCCAAGCAACAAGAGGATTAATTTTCATGTGTATGTGTATGAATGGGGAATATTACTTACACTAGTCCTTATAGCCAACCTCGCTAGCCTGTCCCTGGAGCATCAGCCCTGCCTCCTGGGGAGCTCTGGGCATCACCTGAATCTCACGTTGTCTTTCTGGCTGTTGTACAAACCCCACTGACCTTCCTGAAGGCATTTCCTTGGCCATTGGCCTCAGCTTTGGGTGATGCCTTCACTACCCCCATGGCTCCTATGCCAGACTTGTCTCTGCCACAGCCAGAGACTCCTGCACACCCCGGTTCCAGCAGCTCTGTCGTGCATGGCCATGCTGGCACAGAGCCGATGGGCTCCTGCACTGTGGGGCTTTGCTCTGCACTGGGATTTGAGCCTGGCATCACCCCACACCAGGCAGCTAGGAGGATGCACCTTCATTTCCAATTGAGTAAGAACAGGGATGTGCAAACATGAAGAAGGTTTGGTTTTGTTTGATTTTTTAAAATAATCTGAAATAAACCTTTGTAACCACTGCTATGGCTCACTGGCTTGTGATCAGCAACAGGCAGTTCAGCCTGGCTGTCCCATGGAGGCAAAGCCCCTCAGCCACATCCACAGGTCAGGCTCTGCCTGAAGGTCTCAGCCCTCGCAGCCTGTCCAGTGCTGAGACACTGTCACAGCTCTGTGCGCTCTACCAGCCTGGAGACAAACTCAAATAGACCAAGGTGGGCTGGAAACCTCATGCCAGACCCAGGCCCACCTGGAGAAGGAGGAGCTCCAGTCAGCCACAGTCACCAAGCTCATGCTTCCCCTCATGCTGGAGGTGCAGTCACCCCAAAGCCAGGAGCAGGCAGCTCAAACTGTTCTTCACTGCCACAGCCCCCAGCAAAACAACCTGCCAGCAGTCTGCACTGCCAGGGCCCAGCTCTGGTGCTCAAGGGCAACAGCAGAGCAGCTCACATTTGCTGCTGCAGTCACTGGCAGCTCAGACACCAGGATGCACGTCGCAGCTGCATGGGACTGGTCCCAGCTCTCCAATCCTTTGGGAAGTCTCCCCCTGCACATTCCACAAACACTAGAGAGGAGGGGCTGCAGGGAGCTGCAGTTATCTCACTGCCCTCTTTGTTCCTGCTGGCAGCACCAACTCTGCTCCGTGGGTTTGCTCACTTCCCAACACCCTTCCCTGCTCCAGCTGAACTCCTGGAATGCCATGCTTGACTCAACACACCTGTTCCCTGCAGCACTTTGCTTCCAGCTCTTCCACTGGCTGCTCCCCATCTCTCTGCACAGGGAAAACCTGATTCCAGTTCAGAGGATGCTGTGAACCTCCAAGCCCAGCTTCCTCCCCAAGCTCATCTCAGCACAGGGACTCCCTCACATGGTGATGTTCAGGGCCTGTCTATTGTATCTCACACAGAGAAGGCACTTCTGGTTCCTGAAGCTAAAACACTGCTCTAAGAACCTGGGCAGCTCCCAGAATTCAGGCTGGGTTTCCTCTTTCAAGAAATTCAGCTGCAGCTGAATCAGAGCTGGATGTCCACCAAGAGCAGACAATTAACTTAGTCAAGACTTGGAGTCTGACATGGAAAAACCCCACATGCCCCACTGTGTGCATGGGATTCAAGCAGTACCATTACCTTGCCAAGTAGTTATGGATTTGGATGGACAATCTGGGACTAGCCAGTGACAGGTGAGCACTGCAGAGAGGGGCCCTGGGCACATGGTCAGCTCTGTTGCAGGGGAAGGGGACACCCCAGAGGCCACCCAGCTGTGGGACTCAGCTCAGGCCTGTTCAGGTAGGTATGAAAAGCCTTGCTGCTGTGGTGGAAGGGACATGGGACTGGCTGGGCTCAGGAAACATAGGTGGCACAGCAACAGCTCTGCCCTCACAACTTAGCCCAGACCGGTCTGCACCTGCAGTCTCAGAGCAATCCAAGTGCTGACTGTGACTGCCATCACCACAGAGGGACCAGAGATCTCTGCTCCAACATTCACTGCAGAGGTTGCCTCAGGTTGACGTTCACCACCTGCTTTGCCCTTCACCTCATCCACAACGAGTGCATTCAGCTCTCAACTTTTATTGTACCCCCAGTGCAATGTGCAGAGGCCATGGGGCAGGCAGCAATCCCTGAGGTGCCTCCACCATGCTCCCTCTGGCAGGATCAAGTCCTCTGAGCTTCCCAGAAGTGTCACCAAGCCCACCACCCTCAAGGGCAGCATGGGCAGCATCAGGCTGAGCAGACAGGAGGGAGTGAAAGCAGGACACGAGCACGGCAGGCTATGCTCTGCTGGCTACTCCACCACGTCACCGTACCTGTTTCTCCTCAGCAGTGTTGTAGTGCCGTCCCCATCTTCTGCACTAGGGAGGTTTTCTGCAACAAGAAAATACAAGTTCCCTGGACCTCCAACTACCCTGCTGAGTATGCCAAGCATGGGCAAAGAACCACAGAGCCTTGGTGAAGCACGTAAAGCCTCTTCAAGTTGGCCTAGCTTTGGGAGTTCAAGGTATGTATGGGAGAAAGCAGCGAGCAGCAACAACAATTGTACAGCAGCAGCTGTCTTGATGCCCCTCAAATTCCACCCACTCTACTGGGCAGCAAATCCCTCCACACCTCAGTTGCTCTCTCCATCCCTTACCTTCTCCTTCCTCTTCCAGCAAATAACCCTTTTGTGCTGGCTTTCGTGACTATCCAAAGCAGGCAGGGCAGAAGGCAGCAGCAAGTGCACCCAGCCCACATCACCAGCCCTGCCCAGGAACCCACTGTGCCGGGTGCACAGAGGCACAGGGGAGGCATGAAACCAGGTAAGGAGCTCCACCCACCACGGGTGCTCCCACTCCCACCCCTTGGCTGCAGGGTGCCAGTGTGGGACTTATAATATGAGATTTTGGCAATGACACAGTCACCAGGTAAATTACAAGACAGGAGCAGCAAAGTAATTATTGCAGCAGGGAAGAACCAGGCACAACAAGCTCAGGCAAAGCAGTAGGGAGATATGACTGTACCTGCGGGCTGAGACACCCCACCAGTCACGGCGAGCTCTTGTGGGGACTTGCCTGTCTCCAGATAAATCCAGAAGTTGGAGCATTTCTGTGTCTCAGCTCTGGTTACCACGTAGCTTCCGAGGGACCCTGCAGCTGGGGCGGCCGAGGTGCTTCTGGGAGTGCCAGCAGCACCACGGTGGGGACAGCACCTGCTGCCGCGAACCCTCCTAAGCCTTGGGGACCGGGGCACAGGGAGGTGGCTGGAGCCAGAGACGAGCTCCCATAACAGTGGCAAACACCTCTCTGTACCGCTCGGGCTGGGCACTTACCCGCAGCCAACAGCAGGCTCCACTGCAGGCTGTATGGCAGCTTCTGCCGAGCCATCTTCTGCACCGCGAAGGCGGCCCCGCTGCCTGCCGAGACCGGGGCCGGGGTTATCGGACACGGCCGGGACGCCCCCGCTGCCCCCGGGGAGCGGCCAAGGACAACCCGGGGGATGCCGGGGTGGGTGGACCGGCCCGTACCTGCCAGGAAGGTGCCGATGCCCTTCATGAAGGCGTGAGACTGGCAGGCCGCGTACTGCTGCAGCGCCTGCGGGGAGGCGTCAGCGCGAGGGCCGGAGGCCCACCCGGCCCCCCAGTGCCGGCCCTCCCCGCACCCCCAGGCCTCCCAGCCCGTCCCCCGCGGGGCGCACCGGGTGCCTGGCGGCCACATCATCCTCCACCCGCCGCACGCCCAGGTTCACCATGGCGAGGCTGTCGGGCCCGGCTCGGGGCAGGATCCGCCCCTTCCGCCGTGCTCATGGCGGAACCGGCAGGGTCGTTTCATGTGCTGCGAACCGGGACGGGCCGATTCCTCTGCTTCTGCGGATCCGACGGCGCTGTCTAGTGAGAGCGGGGCGAGAGAAGGAGCACGTGGGGGGCGGGGGGGGCCGAGCGGCCCTGGCCTGAGCTGCTGCCTCCCACAGTGTGACCGACGCGATGGAGGTCTGGGCCGGGGAGCTCGGTGGCTGCCCGGCGCTCGGCTCTGTATGTACCAGGGGGGACCGGGAGCGGCGGGAGAGCCCGGGGCTGAGACCCGGGGTGCCGGCGGGGCAGGGATGGATTTGGACCCGGGCTAGGCCGTGTTGGACGTGCTCTCCTCCTTCTCTCCCTCTGCAGCGGTGTCCGCCGGAGGAGCACGGCGCGATGCTCAGGTGGGTACCGCCGCCCTGGCACCCTCCTCGCTGCGGGCTCCCTCTCGCCCGGGCTCCTCCCACCCTAGGCCCCACCTCGCCCGGGGCCCCTCTCTCCCGCTCCCCTTACCCCTCTCCCCGCAGGGCCGCCCTGGGTCACGGCGCCGCCGCGCTGAGCCTGGGCCCGGGTTCGGCCGCGCTGCTGCTGCCGGAGGAGCCGCAGTGCCCGGCCCTGGCCCTCGCCCAGCTGCCCGCCGCCGAGGCGCGCAGCCAGCTGCAGGCGCTGCTCTTCGGCATGGCCGGCTGCATCGAGAGCCTGGAGAGGCGCCTGGAAGGTCCGTGGTGGGTTTAGAAGAGGGGAGGGCTAGCAGCTCCTGCCACCTTCACGGGATTGTCACTCCCACCTAAGGTGCCCTAGGTGCCCCAGTCCAGCCGCAGCAGGAAAGGGCTTCACCCCAGGTGGTTTCTTCTCACCGGTCCCGGTAGAAGAGCTGCTGCCTGTCACTTCCCTGTTCGTGCTGGCCCGTTCTCAAAGCTGGCCGGGGTCTGCACCAGACCTCCACAGGCAGAAGAGACCCTGCCTGGGCTGGGAGGACACAGTGGTGTGTCTCTGTGTGGAAACACAGCCCTTGTCCTCAAGGCCAGCACCACACTAGCATCCTGAGTGTGGGAGTCACCTTACAGATATCTTTGTCTGAGGGGTCTGGAAAGATTTTGGAGCAGCAGCAGTCTGGATGGAAGTGCTGAGAGGAGAATGGGGCTCTGTTTGGCTGTGGAGGAAGCTCACTGGGGAGGCTTGAAGTGCTACATGCGGAATTGGGGGATGTTGTCACAAGCTTTGGCTCTGGCTCCTGTCTCAGTAGCAGTGGAGACGTTAGCATCTTCCTGCAGCCCCGAGAAGAACGCTGCCCGGAGCCAGCAGCTCTTCCTGCCAGGTAGGCACTGCCAGGGGCACCTGCCCTGCTCCTGCAATCTTTTGTCTTCTCCCTCCTGGAGGCTGCTTGTCCTGTAATCATGTGCTCTCCAGGACACTCTGAGTGCCCTCGGCTCTGGCTGCTAGCAGCAACCACCCGTTGTCCTGGTGCTCTTCCAGGCAGAGCATGGGCAGGGCTTAGTGTGGTGGCTCTCAGGGTGTCTGGGAAGCTCAGGTGAAAGGCTGGGCATTGCCAACCTCAGAAGGAGGGCAGGCTTTCCTGTGCTTCCAAACTGGAGGCTGTGGTGGATCCACAGCTCCTTTTGGGAGAGGAGGCCAAGTCTGGCCCTTTCTTGCCCTCTGTGGCTGCTGGTCCTGCCAGGCTGGGCTCCCGGAGGCTCCCCCTGGCCGTGGGGGGGCAGGCAGGGCTGCCAGAGCTCCTGGGTAACCTGTAATCTGTGTCTTGCCTGTTCCCGACTGAGGCAGACCCCAGCCCCAGGAAGAGTAAGGCTTCTGGCTCAGCTTTGCCAGCCAAAAGGAAGGTACCGGGGGAGTCTCTCATTAACCCTGGTTTCAAAAGGTCAGTTCTGGGGTTGGATGCTGCTCACTTGGCACCTTGTGAGCTCTGTTGAAGTTTTGTGGCAGCAGGGCTTGGGACTCCTGACTCTGATGTTTCCTCCATCTCCTTCCAGCAAGAAGGCGCCATCTGGAGTGAATTTCGAGGACTCCTGATGGGTGCTGTCCTGTGCCCTGATGACAGCCCTATGGACCCCTGTGTGTGAGCGAGGAGGTGTCCCTGTTGTTCTGGACCTGCTGAGTGCCTTGACCCAGGGAGACAACAGAGGCAGCAGTACCTGGTAGCCACCCCTCAAGTTTCCCCTTTGTGGGGAACAGATGAAGCAGAGGGGACACCAGCATGGTGGGTTTTTCCCCTGCAGCTCTTCCCTGCTGGCAGGGACCAGCTCCTGACCTCACTTACCATAAACTGGTGGAGTTTCGATAGAGCTTTGATACTGTGGAATGGAAAGATCACCTGTGCTTTGCTTCTTGCCAGTAAAGGGGTTTTTAGCCAGCTGGTCTCTTTGGGTGTGTCTGTCCATTCTGCCTCTCCTTTTCTCAGGAAGCCTTGGGCTTCAGCTGAACCCAGATGTCTGGGCCTCAGAGAAATTCTCTTCCGTGCCAGCTTTTTGCAAGTGGGCTGATGGGTGTGTCGTTAGAACCTGGCCAGTCCCTCTGGAGAGCTGGGAGGGTGGGCTCTGCCTTGCTGGGCACTGGGAGAGCATGAGGATGTCAGTACATCCTGCCCTTGTGAGGGAGGAGCTGCTGGGGTGGTCACTCCAGACTCACACCGGTCTTACTTGCAAAGCTTTTATTGATTTCCAGGAACTTTGAAGCTTATCTTGGGCTTTCCCTGCTTCACAACCCCCAAGTCTGTTGAGAGCTTCCTAATAGTGAGTTCTGGGGGGAGCTGACCTGTGCCCATTGCCTGTGCTATTCCCCTCCAGCTCTGTTCCTAGGTCTCTATGGCTGTGCCAGGTCCCCACACTTGGTGCAGGTGAGAGGGCACCTTGTGGTGCCTGCTGCCCAGGTGGGTGGCACAGTGTGCCTGCCTGTGCAAGTGGCTGCAGGGCACGGTTGTTGTCCCCAGCTCTGCCCCTGCCCTCAGCTGGGCACAGCTATGGCACCGATGGTGCTGTGGCTGTCCCCCTTTGCCCTCATCCTGGTGCTCGAGGGGCCACAGAGCTTGTCCTGGTTGTGAGGAAGGGTGGGTGGCACAAGAGGGGCTGAGTGCACTGCAGATTGCTGCCAGCCACCTGTGTGCCAGTGGAGGGAATTTGGGTGTGAGTGGCACAGCTCTCCTGAGCCCCTGCAGGCAGGGGCAGGGTGGGCACTGACCTCCTGCCTGACCCCAGCCTTGGCCCTGCACCCACCAGGGCACGTGCCCGGCTCACTGTGGTGCCCGGACCACGGAACGATACGCTTGTATAATCTCCTGGCTATTGGGGCAGGTGTATTTGAACTCCTTGGTCTCACTGGCACTGTTGAGGTACCGCCACACACCCTGCAGGTCCTTGGGGATCCCAAAGCGGCGGTAGTGCTGGCACACGACCTGCGGGTACAGACCGGGGAGAGACTTGCCTGACACTGTGCCATGCAGGGCTCTACCCCCAGGGCAGGCACCAGCTGGGAAGGGTAGCACGGAGCCAGGGACATTCACGGCACTGCACAGTGGAGGGCTGGCACTCAGGATGCAGAGAGGAGTGGGATCTGTGGGAGGGCATGGTGCTGGGCAGGGCTCCTGGGGAGAGGGATGCTGGGCGGCACAGAACTGAGAGAGCAACTGGGAAAGGGGCAGGGCCTTGCTGTAGGTACCAAGAGGAAAGTGAGGGCATAGGGATGCCAGGAAAAGGAGAAGGGCATGGTGCTGGGATACCCGTGGCTTACCTGAACAATGTTGAGCTTTGGCAGCAGGTTGCAATCAGCCAATGTGAGGTGGTCTCCGTCAAGGAAATGACGCTGGGAGACCCGGAGGTGGGGGTCCTGGGCCAGCTCGTGCTCCAGAGGGGCATTCAGGTACTCATCCAGCTTCAGCAAGGCCCGCAGCAGGCTCCGCTGCAGAGCTGCAGGGAGGGTGGCCAGGTCACAGTACAGCCCTGCTCTGCTGTGGCCTCCTGCCAGCCCAGCCCAGGTGTCCAGGCAGCAGCTGTCAGCCTCTTCCCACCTGGCTCAGGCTGGCACCTGCCTCTGCCCTCCCACAGAGACCTGGCATAGCCACAGTGGCCCTCATAGAGAGGGCAGTGCCTGGACAGACCTGACTGTGGACCGGGAAAGCTCAGTGTGACCAGGCTAAGCTTTGGGGTGTGGCACCCAAGAGGTTGTATGGGGTGCTCCCCCACCCTTTCCTCACCCTCGTCCTGGGCAGGTACTGGGTTCTTGATGAAGGCAGAGAATTTGTGGAAAATGTCGTTCCCAGCCAGACTTGACTCCGGGTACTGTGGGACCAGACTGGGGCACCTGCGGGGATATGGGCACAGCTGAGGCAGGTACGAGAGGCTGACCGGCTCATGTGCTGTCAGCCCCCTCATCCCTCAGCTTGTTCTGCCCTTCTTTCAGGGGGCCCCTTCCTCCTCTCAAGGCAGCACCAGCCACTGACATGGGGGGGCCCAGCTGGTCCTCCAGGAACTCCTCGATGGTGACGGTGTCGGTCTTGGGCTCGCCGTTGTAGAGGAGGACGGGCAGCTGGGCACCTGGAGCGAAATCCTTCAGCACATCCAGCGCCCTGTGGGAGATGGGTACACCACTGATGCCTGGCATGTCCAGGGTTCTGCAGGGCACTGTGTGTGTGTGTTCATACTGTGCACGTCTCAGGCAAAGGGAGTTTTGGTGGGCTGGTTCAAAAGCTGGTGCCCTCAGGCCCCTCCTGCCTCAGTGTGTGCCCAAGGAAATACCTGCCAACCTCCCCCAAGCACCAGTGGTCACCCGGGGAGGTGCAAAAAGCTCCATGCATCCTATAGTGCCCACCCTTCACATCCCTTCCCAAAGTGTTGAGGACCTACCAACACCCCCACCCTGCACATGATCCTGGCCCCAGGGCTGGCACCCCTTGAGAGGGGCTACCACTCACCTCTTCACGTCCACAGTGGTGAGGGTGAAGGGCACCCCTTTGAGCAGCAGCACCATGAAGAGCCGCTGGCAGAAGGGGCAGTGCCCTATGCTCTCCCCGTCCTCGCTTGCCTGTAGCACAGAAGGAGAGCTCAGCTGCCCTTTTGCCCTGGCATGTTCTCATTGGGGTCCACCCCAGAGGGTAGAGGATGAAGATGATAGGGCAAATGCCCCAGCCCTGCCTGACAAGCTGTGCTGCTGTCCATGGCACCTGCTATGCCAGGCAAGATGCCAGCTCCTAGCCCCTGCCTGCTCCCAGAACCTCAGTGCCACACCCCAGAGCAGCCACATGGCACAGCAAGTGCTGGCCCTGGCACCCCCTTGGGACAAGGACCTCCAGGCTGCAGCAGCCTCACAGTGCCAGGGGGACAAGGGCTTGAGAGCAGTAGTGGCAGCAGGGGTGGCAGTGGCAGAGGACAGTCCAGCAGCAGAGATGTGACAGATCAGAGGTGGCCCTGTCAACTCTAGCCACAATCCCAGGTGAGCCCTGTCCTGGCCTGCACAGCCAGACAGACTGCCCTGGCCAGGTGGGGGCTGGGAAGGGCCTGGCAGTGCAGGCAGATGCTGTGTTGCTGGCCTGCTGGGACCTGCTTTCGGGGGAAACCTCTTCCATCCTCCCCAGGTTTAGCCCCCACAGCCCCTGTGCCTGCAGGGCAGGAAGCAGCAAGCGGTGTGCCCTGGAGAAGAGCCCGAGCTGCCCACTGCCTGTCCTGCCTGCTGCCTGTCCCCCACCTGCCTGCTGTCCCCTGCCTGCCCCACTGCCCCTTGTCAGCCCCATTGCCTACCCAGTGCCTGACCCACCGCCCACTGTCTGCCCCCCTGCCTGCCCAGTGCCCCACATCTGGGCAGGGGCAGCCCAGCCACCCCACCACAGCACTGCCAGGGTTGATTGCCAGAGCTACCAGCGGCCTGGGGCACTGACCTGAGGACCCCCCTCACCTTGATGAAGAGCTGGATTTGGGGTTTTTCGGCCATGCTGCGCGGCGGCTGCTGCTGCACTGCTGGCTGCACTCTGAGTGCCGCAGGTGAAACCACAGCCCCTCCCAGCCCACATTCCTCCTCGGGGTGCACCCGCTCCCACCCACGCCTGGCCCCATGGCACAGACAGGACGCCCTGCCATGGGGCCCTGCCACCGTGGCTGCTGCCAGCCCCAGGCCGGTAATGCAGCTGGTGGCATTGCCAGCTGCTGCCACTCCTGCCTGTACCCCCAACCACCCCACACTGCTTGAATGATGACAAGCACTGGGCACAGACCTGTGCTGTGCCCCAGCACACCCTGCCCCTAGCAGGACCTTGCACCCCACTCTGGGCACTGCCACTCTCCTCCTCAGCCCAGGCCCTCCCAGGTACCCAGCCCTGCCACTCCCCCCATGAGCAACTACACAGCCTCAAGAGATTCAGTTATTATTTTTTATTTAAAACGATCATTATTTTCACATTTCTTCTTCTTTTTGTTTGGTAGCAATATACAGGCAGCTCCAAGATGTCCCCACCCCCAGGGGCCCCACGCCCGGGGCTGAGCATGGCACTGGCGCCATGCCCGCGGCTGGTGGCCAAGGACGTGGAGGGGGAGGCAAGGCTGGAAGCGGGGCCAAACTCAATGAAGTGAACAGTGTTAAGGCAGCAACCACCCCTGCCCTGGGATGCCACCTTCCTGCTCCACCCTTGGACTGACTCTAGCACAGCGACTGTGCCCAGGCAGCACCAAGCCCATAACAGGTAGGCCACCGTGGCCACTCAGGCTGTATGGGCACCTCCACTGATCCTCAGAAGCCATGCGAATGACAGCAATGGTGGCAGGGGGAACACTGGGTGGACAGGGAAGACACTCTGTGACTGGGGTGCCAGTGCCCTTCAGGAACCTGGAACAAGAGTGTAGTGTGGCAGGTATGGGGCAAGGATAAAGCCCAGAGCACAGCAGCACTGCCCACCCTGGGGTGCCCCAGGGTGCCACCAAGGTGACAGCTGGGGACTCAGAGATTACATTATCCCCTCTCCCTGAAGGCAAAGAGCAAACTTTGAGCTGGCTTGTCCCCCATATTGCCTGGGGAAGGCAGAGTGTGGCCAGCATAGGAGCAGGGGCATACTGGTGGGGGCTGCCCTCCTGTCCCCTCCAACCCATCCCACATCCAGCCAGTTTCCCATATGCCATTAAAAAAAATTGTCTGAAAAATCTGAAAATAGAGCTTCTTCTCCCAGTTTTCCCCCTATTGAAAATACTGTATATTGTATCTCAATCCATAGCAGGTGGTATATGGGCCTGATAGGACCAGGGGGCATAGGGACAGTTGAGGTCAGGCCCTGCTTCTGTGCCCAAGTGGGGCCAGAGCCAGACACTCCCCAACTCCCATAGCAGCCAGCTGAGGTGCCTGGTGCTGTTTAGGGCCTCCTGCCAAGCCTGT